GACTCACTCTTTCCACTTCCCACTTCCTGCAAACAGTTTCCTTGACAATTTCCAACTCCTGGATAAAGGGACATCACTTCCTTTGGGAGTTAGATAGATGAGTTTTCACTAAATGTGGATGTGAGAGCTAGATAAAATATTAGTCACTTTGGGCAGGATGGTGTCTGTCGTGGTTCAAATCAGACTTGTAATTAAAAAAAGGTGATTTTTTTTTTTTTTTTTGAGATGGGGTCTTGGTCTGTCGCCCAGGCTGGAGTGCAAGGGCACAATCACAGCTTACTATAGCCTTGAACCCCCGGGCTCAAGTGATCCTCCCACCTCAGTCTCCCAGGTAGCTAGGATCACAGCCACGTACCACTATGTGCAGCTAATTTTCAATTTTTTTGTAGAGATAGGGTCTCGCTATATCTACAAGTATATAGCGCCCAGGCTGGTCTCAAACTCCTGGCCTCAAGCGATGTGCCTGCCTCAGCCTCTGAAAGTACTGGGATTACAGGTATGAGCCACCGTGCCTGGCTGAAAAGGTGATTCTTGATTGAAGGCAAACACACTTTAATCAGTCCCACCCATCAGCATGGTCTCAGTGGGTCGGTCCCTGAGAAAGGCTAGGCATTTGCTGCGGAGGCTCAGTCCTTTGAGCATGAGGTAGGAAGAGGGTGGGACAGGTAGCAATGCTGGCAGAGAAGGTAGGTCCCACTGAGGGCACAGATGGGCTCAGGCAGCACAGATGACCAACAGGAATACCCAAGAGTGGTCCATCCCCATCTTGGCACCCCCATGGACACCCACCTGCTTGGTCCTCTGCCTGGGTCACTGGCTGGTGCCAAAGGCCTGCTCCATTCTGCAGCCACAGCACCTAGCCCTTGGGGATGGTCAGGCAGGGCCTGAGAAGACTCCTGCCTCCTGGGGCCTGGCTTACATGTACAAGAAACAGCCACCCATTTGCAGATACCCACTGCCAATGCCCAAGGACCCTGTCTTGCTGGCCAGTTCCCCTGTCCCTTGAACTTGATCCACACCAGTAAGGAGTAAAAAGAAGGGGCCAAAGGAAGTCCTTCAGAGTCTGGGAAGATGATGTGACATAGAATCTGCAAAGCTTGGTTTCCAAGTTGTTAAAACAGGCATAGTTAAGACCAGCCTGGGCAACACAGTGAGCCCCCATCTATACAAAAAATTAAAAAGTCAGCTGGGTGCAGTGGTGTATACCTGTGGTCCCAGCTGCTTGGGAAGCTGAGGTGAAAGGATCTCCCGAGCCCAAGAGGTCGAGGCTACAGTGAACCATGATCATGCCACTGCACTAATTGGGCAACAGAGCAAGACTCTGTCTAAAAAAAAAAAGAAAAGAAAAGAAAAGAAAAAAGAAAAACAGGCACAGGATCTTAGGAGCCAGAGAGGACCTCCTTCCTGGACCAGAGTCCCCTCTACCACACTCATGGCCATTGTGAGACTTGCAGGGTGGGGAGGTGAGCCCTGGGAGGCTGCCCACACTCTCCTAAAACAGCCTGAGCACATCAAAGTCCTTCCTTAGAGCCTCTAACAATCTTTTTCTTTTTCCAGATGGAGTCTCACTTTGTCACCCAGGCTGGAGTGCAGTGGTGCGATCTTGGCTCACTGCAGCCTCCACCTCTCGGGTTCAAGTGATTTTCCTGCCTCAGCCTCCTGAGTTGCTGGGATTACAGGCGTGCAAACCACATCTGGCTAATTTTTGTATTTTTAGTAGAGATGGGGTTTCACCATGTTGGTCAGGCTGGTCTTGAACTCCTGACCTCAGGTGAACCACCCACCTTGGCCTTCCAAAGTATTGGGATTACAGGCGTGAGCCACTGTGCCTGGCCTCCCTGTGACAATTTAAAAAACATTATGCAAAATTCAAATCTATATAGAAGTAGAGAGAATAGTATAATAAATCTAATATACTCCTCTCCCAGCTTCAATAAACCCCACCTACTCGTCTGGGGACAATTTTATTTATTGAGATGGGGTCTCACTCTGGGACCACCTAATCTAATCTAACCTATCTAGTCTAATCTTATTACCTACGTATCTACCTACCTAGTTACCTATGTGCCTCTCTGTGACCATTTTTTGTTTGTTTGTTTTAGACGGAGTCTTCTTTGTTGCCCCGGCTGAAGTGCAGTGGTGTGATCATGACTCATTGCAACCTCTCAACCTCGTGGGCTCAACTGATCATCCCACCACAGCCTCCCGAGTAGCTGAGACTACAGAAATGTGCCAGTGCAACTGGCTAATTTTTAAAAATTTATTTTTTTTAGAGATGGGGTCTCCCTGTGTTGCCCAGGCTAGTCTCAAACTCCTGGGCTCACGTGATTCTCCAGCCCTGGTCTCCCAAAGTGCTGGGATTATAGGCATGACCCACTGTGCCCAGCCTGGGACAATTTTAAAGAACAAATAGAGAAAAGCCCGTTGGTTTATAACAAAGACTTGGGTGTGCCAGGTACACTGGTTAGCTGACCTACTACATACTCCTAATCACCCCCTTCCTTGCCTGTTTTCCATGACACTCACTTTTCCAGCCTTTCCTACAGGTAGAGGTAGTTCAATGACCCAGCTATGGGCACTGAGACATAAATGAAAGTCTGATATGAACTCTCATTGTAAGATGACACACGGGTACATAATACATACACACAGATGCATATGTATCAGCCAGAGGAAGCAGTTCATTAGTGAGATGAAGTGAGGTCAGTACAGGAGGCTTTTAAAGAGGTTCCATGTAGATCAAGAGAGTGACAGCTGAAGTCAAGGCAAACAGCACAGTTTAAAGTGGCAAAGTGTGAGACTCCGAAGTAGGGATCTACAAATTGGGAAACAGGGCACCTGTAACAGGATTGATGCAAATAGCCATGTATTCCCTGACAGGCAGCCAGAATCTGTCAAAAAAGACTAGACTAGAGGGGTTTTCTAAAAGACTCATGGAAAGGTAATGGGTGATTGTGTGGAAGTCAGATGTGGGCAGCAACCCTGCTGGGAAAACGGGCACCAGTCAAGAGACAGCAGAAAGGAACCAACATTTCTCCAGAATTGTGACATTAACTGAACACAGGTACAGATGGAGAAACCTGTGTGGGGGCTGGATCCTGAACAAGACAGGCAGGGTCCAAGCACACAGCTATGACTTTCACTGACACACCTGACTTCTCTCTTCATGGCTTGGAGCAAAACAGGAATAGCAAACCCACCTGTAAGAAGAACCCAGCAGGCTTTGCAGCTTTTGTCTTAATCCCTTAGGCTTCACAGGTGTTAACACTGGCTAAAAAGAAAAACCCTAACTTACCACGAACTCAGCACCATTCATTCTATTGGATTCCAGATCATTTTTCAAACAGGGAGAGCGCCAGCTCACGTGTTGCTGAGATACTGGCTGCTGAGATGAAGAACTTTGTGAAACGCAATGGAAGAGGGACTCAGAACTCCAGAGAAAAGTTAGGGAAACAGCTGCCAAATGGTGGTGAATGACGGATGATGAGCCAGAGAGTACCATGTGGGAGGACGTTCACATCAAATCTTGGCTGCTACCTCCTGAAGGTCTGGATGTCCTCTCATCAAAATACTGGCAGCTCTTAGGTTATTCTTTTTTTGTTTTTGAGACAGGGTCTCACTCCCTTTGCCCAGGTCAGAGTGAAATGGCATGATCTTGGCTAACTGCAGCCTCAACTTCCAGGGCTTAAGTGATCCTCCCACCTTAGTTGCCTGAGTAGCTGGGACTACAGGCATGCACCACCATGCCTGGCTAATTTCTTTTTGTATTTTTGGTGGAGACTGGGTTTCATCTTGTTGCCCAGGCTGATCTTGAACTCCTGAGCTCAAGCAATCCACCTGCCTCAGCCTCCCAAAGTGCTGGGATTACAGGTATGAGCCACCTCGCCCACCTTCCTCTGTTATTCTTATGTCCCATTTGGGACCATAACTAAGACCTCGCAGGCCGCCTGTTGTGACGCTGGCCTGAAATGCTCTATAATCACTTAGAATTATTTATCAGAGGGGATGTGAATAGACACTGTGTTCAAATTTAACTTGTAAACTACCTTTCTGAGTAATAAGATCCATAGCCCATAACCATCTAGTGTTGACAGTCGGGTCTTTGCTGCTATGAATTCTCACCACATTAGAGGCCTAGATTGGGAGACCTGCCATAAACTAGCACTCATACCCGCCGGGTGTGTTGTTAGCTTACTCCACCCGTTGGAGGTACTGGTGTTATTCATGCCATTTGCAGACCAGAAAATGGAGGCACAGAAAAATGACCTGTGGTCAGGGCCACAGAGCTGGTCCAGCAAGAAATGGAATGCAGTCTTAGGGATCCTGTCATCACCCAAACCTGTCATGTTACTCGAGTAACACACGGGCACATGCAGGCACACACACCAGGAGCAGGTTGTGGGGTTTCCTGCTTTATTAATATGAATGCTCTCTATCCCCCTTTCCCTCTTCACTGAAGATTTGTTACTCTCCTCTCTGCTGTTCTGCAAAGAATGTCTGACTCTAAGCAGGAAGCCTGGAATTTACATTTTCTTATGAGTATAAAAAAGAAAATCCTTCAGAATATTCTCTGACAAACTAAAAATTAATGAACTATTGAAGTGGGAGCATATCTGAATTTAACTTTTCTTTGGGAAGAGGAAAAAGGCTGACGGGAAAAAACAGCTAATTCAGCAATACTATATCCTTCTTTTCAGCCTTACATGCCATCAGTAGGAATCCATTCAGGAGAGAGATCAGGAGAGAAGCCCGAGTGGAAATGAGAACAAGCTGCAAAGGGGCCTGGCATTCCAGTCACTCTAGTGAGCCACCTTCTCTAGGTCTTCGGGACAAGGCTGGCTGCAGAAAGAGCCTCTTGGTCCCAGAAAATTCACACCCGGGTTGGTCAGCTCTCTTCACCATGCCTGGCAAGACCTCTGCCAACCTGGACAGACCTGGAATGTGCTGTCTTGAACTGGGTGGGACTTTGCAGCAGAATAAAAGGAAGGTGAGTGAGGTCGTCATCTTCATCATCCTCTCACAGGACCAACTTTTATTTTATTTATTCATTTAAGGACAAATTTTTAAAAGTAAAGTGAATGAAACCATTTGTGATTAAGATACATAGACAGAACTTCAATGTAGAAAAAAAAAAAAGACCTTGCTGGGAAACAGATCATGAGAAACACTGGGAAACATTTCACAGATGCACAAAAAGCTCACATTGTAAACAGGATTAAGCTGCTCTTGATTTTGCCCGTAACATCAAGGTTTCATTTTGCTCAGCCTGAGATCTCGCTCAATTTCAAACTGCCTGTGATCCACTCGGTCGAGGAAGGCTTTCCGTTCAATGTACCTAGAAGAAGATGAAAACAGTGTTTGTCAGTAGAATCCAATAGGAGAAACTCCTTCCCTGCATGGTCCCGTGCCCCAGGGATAAACTAAGTTACAGTAAATGGTGCTGAGAGTGACCACCCATGACTCTTCCAGTACAATCCAAACCACTCACATTTGGTCTAAACAAGGATGGTGAAAATAAAAGGAAGGCAACAGCTTATCAAAGGGAAAGTATATCAGAGGCTGGGTGGCAGGAAGATGCTGCAATTTTCTAACAGGACTTTAAGGTAAGAAGAAAGAATACGGGTTTACACAAGCATGGGTTCAAGTCCTAGCTCTAGCTCACTGATTAGCTGGGCAAAGGAATGAACATCTTTGAGCCTCACTTTTCTATACAGCAGCATGGTGATGCTGTATTTCTTGGCTTTAGTGGTGTGTTGAATTGGTGGGTAAGAGAAAGCTATGCCTCCTGCGTACATACATCAAAACGTGAAATGGGGGCATGTGGTAATGAAGGAAAGAAGACAGTAAAAATGACCTCACAGGGCTGCTGTGAAGATGAAGTGAGCTGAGGTTCATAAACTGCACACTTCAGAAGCGATTTAAATGCTCTGAGCTCTTTTCTTCCCCCCTCACCCTTTTCTCCTCTCCGTGGTATCCCCTCCACCCTGTTTGGGTCTAGGTTGCTTCTGCTAAGATGACAGGAGAACTCTTTCCCTAAATTCCTCTAAGAGAATGAAGTTAAGGGCCTCTGTGGCCTGTAGTCCACACACAGGATCCCCTTGAAAGGTGGACACTCTGCTCCCGAATCTGGTTGGGTTCAGCAAACTTTCCCTCTGTCCTCCAGGCAGGACGGGAAAGCAGCAAGGGCTGAAGCACAGGCGTGCTTGCTGGGAGCGAGGCTGGCTGCTTAATGAGACACAGCTGCATCTTAATGTATCTCCTCGCCATAAACTGTGCTGCGATTTGCCTGGGGGGAGGAGATCTCTGCCGCTAATTAATCTATCGAGAGAGCAAAAATTGCTATCGAAAACGGGAGACATAATTGAATCTCTGCACTAATTTTTCTTTTGTTGCACTGTGGAAAATGTGCATTTGTCATTACAAAGTCATTACATTTATAGTGAGAATGCTACTGGGTTCAGGAACCTGTGTTCCCCTGCTGAGGCCAGGGCCTTGCTTTCCCTCCCAGCGGCATCCTGGGAAGTACCATCCATCATCCTACCTCATTTCCAGCTAGGCCTGACTACTTTGACCCTTCTGGAGGGCTGGCCAGAAATGTACTGGCTCTGAGGCCAGAGGGCTGGAGGTTTGAGTCCTGTCATTTGCTGTCTGTGTGACTCTGGGCAAGTCACTTAACCTTGCTAGTTCTGTTTCCTAATTTGTAATAATGATAATAAATAATGGCTAGTCGACTCCATTCTGAAGGACTGTTGTGTGGATTAAATAAAATAGTGTCTACATCACACCGGGCACAGAAAAGATGCTCAATAAAATGGTAGGTAATGTTGTCACCATGGTTTTAGGAAGCCAGCTTCCAACAGGCTCCTGACGATAGTAGATGGCCCAAGTCTGGACTTACGGTTTCAGCAGTGAGGAACCAAAACACCTGGTCTGGCTCAGATATTAAGCTGCTGTGTCAAAACCGTCCATGAGGCCAGAATGGCTGGAAACACAATGACAGGGCCTGCTCTTAGGTTTGATAAAAGCCCCTGGGGTCAGGGTTGTCAGATTCAACAAATAAAAATACAGGCTGCCTGGTTGAATTCAAACTTCAGAGTCCCTGGCAGTCAGGGAAGCTGCAGACAGTGTGGACCCCTTTGGATAAAAAGAGAAAAAGGGGAGACAGGTAGGGAAGTGTAGACATCTAACAACAAACTCACTTCCCACCTCCCACTAAGAGACCTGTGATTCTCAAGTGGGGGCTGCTAACCAAAATGGCCTCAGAGGCCATTTTGAGGTTCACTACATTTTGAGGTTCACTACAACTGGTCATCTCTCCACCCCAGCCCCACCAGCCCCAGGGAGGCTCACTACCATGGGGACCAGGATTTTGACAGCACTGAACTTTAACTGTCCCTTGGAAGTGCCAGCAGAAAAAAGAGAGGTGAGCCTCAGCATGAGATCTTGCTGTGCTGTTGTTGGCCCGCGGGTGCAAGAAGAATTTAGGGTATGTTTCAAGAGCCATCTTCCAGTGCTACCTGTCTGGGAGATCAGGTGGAGGAAAGGAGTAAGTATGTGGCTTTAAGCATTTGGGGTCTTTCTTCCTGACTTTATTTTTTTGAGACAGGGTCTTGCTTTGTTGCTCAGGCTGGAATGCAGTGGTGCAAACACAGTTCACTGCAGCCTTGACCTCTCAGGCTCAAACAATCCTCCTGCTTTCGGCCTCTCAGGTAGCTGGGACCACAGGCACATACCACCTGGCTAATTTTAAATCTTTTGTAGAGATAGGGTCTCTCCATGTTGCCCATGCTGGTCTCGAACTCCTGGGCTCAAGCGATCCTCCCACCTTGGCCTCCCAAGTGCTAGGATTACAGGTGAGAGCCATTGGGCCCAGCCCTGACTTTCCTGTAAATAAGAAGTGACACTTAAATAAGGATGCTAATTGGGTATGAATAAAGGTCCTGCACATTCCCAGAAGCTGTGTTGGGTCCAGCTAACCTTGAGACTATCAAGAGTGAAGCCCAGGTTGGGTGCTAAACAGGCAGGTGCAGTCGGAGTTCAGGTTTAGGGAGGCCTCAGGCAGCAATGAGGGGCACATGTGCAGGATGCAACTGAATTCTCAAGGGCAACCCAGACAAAGGCCATCAAGGCAGGTCTGGCGACTATTCCCCAATTCACAGCTATGTGCAGCTGCTAACAGGATGCCTGTGACGGCCTTGGTTTACTGCCAAGAGCTGACCATGAACAAAACTCTTGATATACTCTCCCACTGCCAAGAGACAGAAAAGGTGCTAAGGATGACAGTAGCTCTGACATTTAGTTTTTGTGTGACTTTGGGCAAGATACTTATTTTTATGTGCCTTTTTTTTCCTTCTCTGTAAAACAGGAATAACAATTACAATAACCCTCTGGCATTACAATGAAACTGTGAGAAGTGCTTTGTATACAATAAAACAAAAAAACAGATATGGGATTTGTCACGGGCTTGGGGTTCTTGCTTCCCGTTTCTTCTTTTTTTTTTTTTTTTTTTTTTGGCATTTTTAGTAGAGATGGGGTTTTGCCATGTTGGTCAGGCTGGTCTTGAACTCCTGGCCTCAAGTGATCTGCCCGCCTCAGCCTCCCGAAGTGCTGGGACTACAGGCGTGAGTCATTCTGCCTGGTCTTGCTTCACATTTCTTCTGACTTGACTTTACCTCTACAAGACCCTCAAAACCCAGGGCAACTGGAACAGAGACCGAGAGACTAAATGTCCCCAAAAGAGGAAGGGCTCATTAGGAAGGCCACCTCCTCAAAGGTGGCCACTGAGACTCAGGACGTTTTCATGCACTTTAAGTGGGTCGTGGCCCCAGAACAGACCCACCTGAGGACAAGTGCAATGGGAATCATGGCTCTTGCTCTTGATATGTCCAGGTGCTTTTCTGGCCTGTGAGCAGCCCTTTTGGGGGCCCAGCATGACTCAGCCCAGTCCACAGGGAAGCCCAGTGGTGGGGGGTGCATCATCCCTTTCTGCTCCCATTGCCTTCTGTGGCCCAATTAAGAGGCTCTTCACTTTCTTTAATAAAATATGCTAAGAACCTAAGGGATTTTCTAGTTTTTCCTTTTAGAACCAGGTTAGGCACAACAGGCTCTGACATCTTTTGAATCTTCTAACCCAAATTATTTATCTGCCACCAACTTCCCTGAGATCTAGGCCAATGAAGAGGGAGGGAGAAATGGAAAAGGAAAAGAGAAGGGTAGAAAATGCTACTAGCGAACATGTCAGTACAAGGTGAGCATCCCAAATCCAAAAATCTGAAATCTGAATTCCTCCAAAATCAGAAACCTTTAAAGCACTAACAAGACACAAGTGGAAAATTCCACACCTGATGCCTTTGCTTTCTGATGGTTCAATGTACACAAGCTTTGTTTCAAGCACACAATTATTTAAAATACTGCATAAAATTACCTCCAGGCTTTGTGTATAAAGTACATATAAAACAAATGAATTCTGTGTTTAGACTTGGGTCCCGTCCCCAAGATTGCTGATGATGTAAAAGCAAATATTACAAAATTCAAAAAGGTATGAAATCCAAAACACTTCCAGTCCTAAGCATTTCAGATAAGGGATATTCAACCTGTATCTGGGCACCCACACTGCAGGAGGACAGAGGGCCTCTGAGGGTGGTAAGGTCCAACCGAGTGCTGATCAGATGTGGTCACCCTGGCTGACGTCCCTGAGATGCCTCCTGCACCGCTGGTCAGGAAAAGGGAGAGCACAGGGAAGCGTAGGGAAACCTGAGGCAGTCACTAAGGACACACTAAGGCTGCATTACCATCACGCTGCCCAAAGCTAGCATTCTGTTCCCCAAGTGAGCATTCAAGGCAGCACAGACACAGGACAAAAAGTGGGTAAACGCATTTTCCAACACCACAAAGCAATGGGCTATGGAAGCACTCCGAGGCTAGAATAAAGCTCTGGGAATGATGTACAGAGATACAGACTTTGCTATCCTGAGAAATGCAATTGAAAGAAGCAGTTTGCCCAATAGTACATCTCCCCACTTCCGGAGGATTTAACTTGCAAACATCTCAAGGGTTAGACTGGAAGGGCGGTGATTCTAATTAAGTTTCTTCTCCACTGCCTTCTTCCCCTATCACCTCCAGGTTGTGCTGGTTCTGAAACAGTAACTCTGAGGGGTCATGAAAAAAGATTTTTTTTGAGAAAGAAAATTATTTTCTCCAGTCCCTCCTTCATGCCTCTCCAACTCACAAAAACACCTGGTCTCCAATCGTAACTTCAATGGATTGGTCAGACAGCAGCAGCTGGCATTAGCCAGTATTTCTCTTCTCTGTGCATGGATTCCTCCCCCTAAGTCAGTCGGCCCCTGCCTTGGCACTGCTAGATGCCAAGCTGCTGCTGCTGATCACAACCAAGATACCTGTGTAATGGGTTACAGGACTGCAGGGCTGACTCTGATCCTGGAATGCTGTACTGGGCCCTGGGAGTCTGGAGCTCAGAGGAAAAGCAGCAGTTCTTTCCCGGACAGATGACTGTCTCCAGCACAGGGACTTCAACCATCTCCGCTTACTGAAATGACGCCTGGATGGAAACATCATTCTGATGTATTATGCTCTTCTTTTCTAGGCGGTTAATTCTAATCCTACTGGACTGCCAAACAAAAGCCATGACTATCTGCTAGCTAGTGGGATGGGTGTTTAGACACTGCCATGGTGCAGCACCTGCTCTGGGCTGGTAACAGAATAGGGAACAAGATGTTGCCCTCAGGGGCTTACCATAGATGAACAAAACATGACAACATGCATCAGATAATAGTAAATGTCACGGAGAAAACCAAACAGGGTAATGTGACTGAGGGTTCCTTGGGTTGGTGTTACTCTAGAATGCCATCCGTGTAGAGCCCTGGATGACAAACCAGAGCCTCCCGGGGGAGGAGCACTACATACAGACAGTGAGGCTGGCCTGCAGCGAGCTAGGGGAGAAGAGGACAGAGGTAGGCAGGGGACAGCTCGAAAAGGGCCTGGCTAACACTGATTTGAAGGGCTACCGGGGGGCGTTCCGCAGGGAAGAGATGAAAAATGGTATTTTTAAATGACTGCTTCTGCTGCTGGGTGGAGAATGGATGAAAGGGTAGAGGTAGAAGCAGGGAGCGGAGGAGATGTCTGCGGCCTGTACTGGGGTGGCGGTAGTGGGGCTGCACGAATATAAATGAGCTGAAGTATTTTGTGATGAAACCATCAACTGGAATTGTGGGATGTTGGTGGAAAGACAGGAAATCAAGGATGAAGCCCAAGTTTTTCTTTTCTTTTTTTTTTTTTGAGACGGAGTTTCGCTCTTGTTGCCCAGGCTGGAGCGCAATGGCATGATCTCGGCTCATTGCCACCTCTGCGTCCTGGGTTCAAGCAATCCCAGCCTCAGCCTCCCGAGTAGCTGGGATTACAGGTGCCCACCACCATGCCCGGTGGCATGAAATACAAAAAAAAATAATTTTTGTATTTCAGTAGAGACGGGGTTTCACTATGTTGGCCAGGATGGTCTCGAACTCCTGACCTCAGGTGATCTGCCTGCCTCAGCCTCCCAAAGTGTTGGGATTACAGGCGTGAGCCACCATGCTCGGCCCCAAGTTTTTCTTTTAACAGTGGGGTACACAGTGATGTGCCATTTTCTAAGAATTCTGAGGAGTGAGGGTTCTGTTTATGGAGGGAAGGCAAGTATTTGGTTTTGAAAGTTAAGTTTGATGTGTCTTGGACAACCAGAAGGAGATGTCAACTAACAGCTGAAATGTAAGTCTGGACCTTAGTGGAATGGTCAGAGCAGGGGATACTTTTTTTTTTTTTTTTTTTTTTGAGTCTTCAGTTAAGAATGGTAGCTGCAACTTGCAACTTGTGAGCTTTCCTGGGGAGGAAGAGATGGCTGCCCAGGGCCCAGCCCTGGGACTTTCCAAGTTTAAAGGCCCAGGGAAGGAAGAAAAGCCAGCCAGGGAGTCTGGGCGGAGATGCCACCAAGCTCTGCTTCCCACCACTGTGGAAAATATTCCTGAAGAGTTGGCAGGAACACATCAAGAAGAAATTTAAAGGAATAAAGCATCTAGTTTTCCAGTAAGGCCTGAGGTATGGTGGGGTCAGTAATGGCAGGTGGGAGAAAGAAAAGTGAGCACAGGACTCATGGAAAAGGGAGAGGACTCCTATTGAAAAACATGCCCGGCCTTTCCTCTACTTATGTAATTCCCACAATAATCATGAGAGGTATATTAAAATGTTTCTACTTTACAGATGAAGAAAATGGGGCTGGTATCCATGGTATGGGAAGACCCAATATTTGAATTGCTTATTGTAAAACATACATACAGAAGAGTGCATGAACTGGGCAAGGGCAATGAATCATTATAAAACAAGTGCTCGCGTGGCTCTGACTTGGTTAGAAGTAGAAGGCTGGAGCCCTGAGGAGGTGCCTGTATAATTCTTCCCCAAAAACCTGCAGCCCACTCAGGTGACAGCCTGCCCAGAGCCTGTGTCTGTGTGTTCATTTCCTTGCTTTAAGTTTCTTTTTTCTCAACATTAGAGTTTCGTTGTGTCTTTTTTTTTTTTTTTTTTTTTGTAAAGAGACAGGGTCTTTCTCTGTTGTCCAGGCTGGAGTGCTGTGAGTAGCTGGGACTACGGGTGCATGTCACTGCACCTGTCTTATGCCTCTAGAATTTTGAACCTGTGGTCTTGTGATTCTCAACCTTGGCTGTGCATGAGAATCACCTGAGAAATAAAATTTAAAGATGCAGATATTTGTGACCTACCTGTTCTAGACTCTTGATTCAGCAGCTGTGTACAGAGGTGGTCACCTGAACTTTGGAAAATGTCACCAGAGGATTCTCATGCTCAGCCAAGGTGAGGAACAGAGCTCCAGTCCCTTCACTGGCCTTCACTGGCCTAGGGGCTGGGCTCCCTTAATCCATCTGCAGGAGCCAGAAAAGGAGAGTGAGTGGAGGTATGGGGCTGGGCACTCAAGAAAGCAGATGAGAAGGGCTGAGGCAGAGCACAGAGCCAGTAGATCTGCACTGAAAACTTGTAGTCACATCTGTGGAATCTGGCTGGGTGAATGAGGGGAGAAGCCTCAAACAAAGGAGGGGAAAGCAGAGCATAAAGGAGAACAGTATTAGTTAGTTGTTCCCTAACCCAGTTATGTGACTTTCCCCTCCTGAAAAGTTCTCACTAGGCAGATGTTATTTTTAATCTTGTCTTCTCTTCTAGTCTACATTTTGTTAACTCTTCCTATCTTTAACAGCACCACTCCTTACCTTTTTTTTAATTGAAAATTTTTATTTTTTGGGACAGAGTCTCACGCTTTCACCCAGTCTGAAGTGCACTGGTGTGATTACAGCTCACTGCAGCCTCGATCTTCTGGAGGTGAGTGATCCTCACACCTCAGCCTCCCAAGTAACTGGGACTACAGGTGTGCACCATGCCCAACTAATGTTTTGGATTTTTAGTAGAGGCGAGGTCTTCCTATGTTGCCTAGGCTTGTCCTGAGCTCAAGCAATCCTCCTGCCTTGGACTCCCAAAGTGCTGGGATTGCAGGAGTGAACCACTGCTCCCAGCACTCTTTACTTTTCTAAGACCGCTATTAACTCAAGCAGAGTCAACACCGTCCAACTCAAATAATCAATATTCAGAAAAGCAATAATGTGTAGCACACACTGATAGTTCCTCTGCTGTCTCAGATCACTGGGCAAGAGTGGAGAACAGGACGGAGCCGCAAGTTACTAGAGCTGAATCTGAATGGAGAGGTTTGGGGCGCATGTCAGAGCTGCCACTCGTGAAGAGACAACACTGCACTTTATCCGGAGCCTTCCCCTGATCACTCTGGCTCCTTTTCCCTGTCCTGTAGCATTCCAGCTTAGACTGACCTAGAAGTCTGCTAGTTAAACAAGCTCATGAAGCTGTTTAAAATGTTTTTTTTTTTTTTTTGGGCTGGGCGCAGTGGCTCATGCCTGTAATCCCAGAACTTTGGGAGGCCGAGGTGGGTGGATCATGAGGTCAGGAGTTCGAGACCAGCCTGGTCAACATGGTGAAACCCCATCTCTATCTACTAAAAATACAAAAATTAGCAGGCATGGAGGCACATGTCTGTAATACCAGTTACTTGGGAGGCTGAGGCAGGAGAATTGCTTGAACTCGGCAGGCGGAGGTTGCAGTGAGCCAAGATCGCGCCATTGCACTCTAGCCTGGGTGACAGGGTGAGACTCCATCTCTAAATAAATAAATAAATAAATAAATAAATAAATAAATAAATAAAAATACTGGTCAGCTTCCAGGTTCATTTAGATAATCTCGAAGCCTAATTTAGAAATATGACCCCTCCCAAAATAAATCCTTTGCCTATCATTAATAACCTGAATGAGCTAGGTGCAGGGATGTGCCCCTGTAGTCCTAGCTCCATAGGAGGCCGAGGCAGGAGGATTGCCTGAGCCCAAAAGTTTGAGACCAGCCTGGGCAACATAGTGAGACTCTCTCTCTTAAAAAAAAAAACTTGAATGACTTGGACTTAATGCAAACCTTTATGTGACAGGTGTTCCGTAAAGTGCTTTATGCATATTACATATATGTAAGCAATACATGTATTATCTCATGAGATCATCACAACCACATAGTGAGGATGGTATCATTATCCCAATTTTATTGGTGACGGAGCTGTGCCTCAGAGGTGTCCAGCATGCTGCTGGAGAAGAGCTTACTGGTGAGGGGCAGAGCTGCTGAGCAGCCAGGGCTCTCTGAGTGCGACACTCAACATTTCCTTTCATGGCTAGGGGTGAGGACTATTGATTTTGAGCCATGAAGTCACTTCTGTGGTAACTTCCTTAGTGCCTTCTGAGGTCCCTAAGTACTTATGAACACCATTTCTTTCTTTCTTTTTTTTTGAGACAGAGTCTTGCTCTGTCACCCAGGCTGGAGTACAGTGGTTCAATCTTGGCTCACTGCAACCTCCGTACCTTCCAGGTTCAAGTGATCCTCCTGCCCCAGCCTCCCAAGTAGCTGGGATTACAAGCGTGCACCACTATGCCTGGCTAATTCTTGTATTTTTAGTAGAGGTGGGGTTTTGCCATGTTGGCCAAGCTGGTCTCGAACCCCTGACCTCAAGTGATCTGCCTGCCTCAGCCTCCCAAAGTGCCGAGATTACAGGTGTGAACCACCATGCCTGGCCACCATTTCTTTCTTGATGTTTTGTTTAATCACCAGTAAGACAAATATGACAAGGAAAGGACCCTTTTTACAACTGAATACATAGGTTATGAACATCCTCTTTGTATTCCACAGTGAAGAGAAAGAGGTGCAAGTGATGGCCTGTGGTGCTGTCTGAGGGCCTGGCCTATCACACAGGCTATAGCCAAGGGTAAAGCCCCACCCTGGGCCATGATGACACAGACAAAAAAAAGAAGTCACAATAATGCAACATCTAGGCACTCCACTGGCTCTGTTTTTGAAGGATTTGAACTAGTTTGGCTTCTCAGAAGGACAAATGATTCAGATAAGGCCAAGGCTGCTACCATGGGCCAGATCCAACCACTAGGCAACTTATAGTTCACTGGAGCTGTAATTCAGCAAATTCAGCTTGGCAGATGTAACTGGCCCTGAGAGTACTCCTCACAAGCCCCGCCTTCCCTCCATCCGCAGTGGCCTTCCCAGTGACACGTCCTGCCCCACACTGGAACAGAGCCTTACTGACAAACCAAAGTGCTCACATTTTTAGTTCCATCATGAAAATCTCCTGCTTGCTTCCAGTGGGCAGTCTGTCTCCAATAAATAATTTGATTTCAGGGTTCTGAGGATTTTCCAAGGCATATAACCTACTCCTTCTTACCCCTCTTTCCCTCGATTATGGATGGCCAGTTCTTCACCAATCCCCTCTTCCTCCTTGAAGCTCTCCCAGTCCAGTTTGGACTTCTCGAGGGTGCTCATTTTCTGTTTCTTGGCACCAATTTTCCCCAAAAGGTTGCTCATGCCACTTGATCTTTTTAACCTAAGGAAACAAAATATGAAAGAGGTAGCAGGTAAAAACTCTGATCTCTAGATTAACACTTTTTCTGCTGCACATGGGAATCCCCTAGATTGGAGCCATTTATCTTAGCGGAAGTCATGTTCATATTTGGGGCATTTCCTTCCTGGTGTGGAGAGCACTGTAAGTAAACTGGAATTCTAATGTGCTTTTCCTGCTTAACACCACTGTCTGCTCTCCTGAGCTGCGAACAGGAAATCCTGCCTCCTTCAGACTTCTGTGGGCTCTGTGTGGCAGGTCTCTGCTTGCAAGGAGGGGAGGAGCAGCACTTCAGGCAGGACTTTGGAGTCACATGCCAAGGTCCAACTTCCAGCTTAACTGTGCGACTCTAGGCTAGTTATTTACTGCATGTTCCTTGGTTTCCTAATCTACAAAGCGAATGCTTACTCACAGGCTGTGGTGTATCTTACATGTAAAGGGCTAAAATTGCACTTGGCACAGCGTCAAGGTGCAATAAGCATGAGCCACTCTGAGTCACTGTCATCGTTTAAACTTAAAGCCCCAGGGGATTCTTTTAACAGAAAGAGAACCAGTTCCCAACACTGATGAGTGAAAAGTCACAGTACTGTAAAAGGATTCTAAAATCAGTTTCCTTTCAACTCCTGTGAATTGGGCCCTGGTTTTTCCCAGGAGGTGGAGAACATTCCTCACTCTGAAAGCTCACATGCGGAATGTACAGCCTGTGCTCCACTTGCTGGTGATGCTATCATGGACAGTGGGAGAAACCCCAGATGCCCAAATTCAAGTCTTGGCAAGTCAAATATTTCCAGTCATTGTTAAACATATGAGATAATGTAAGAAAAGCAAAATGCAGTTAAGAAGATGGTATGAGGGAAGGTTTGGTCTCTTTATGAAATGAAACAAAATCATCTACCAGCATGTAGGAACTTGGAAGTTATTTTCTGCCTCATGGGGATATGCAAGAAAGTTAAACATTTAAAAACTATGAGCTAATGTCAAATGGTCTACTGATAATAATACCTTTACTTGTCTAGAATGTTTGTTCTCCAAGTGCTTTTGTAGCCATGATCTCATCTAACTCTTACTAAGGCCTGTGACACAGGACCCAGTCTCAGAGTTGGAAGGGATCACCTTTGAAATAACCTAGTATCACCCTAACCCATTCCAAAACCCCACATCCCTGCCACACAGCACGGTGAACAACCACTCACCCACTGTGCCTGGGGTGAGCCAACAGGCCAACGTCCACACTGAACACCAGACTGCTGGGACTGAACAATGACCCTAAGCATTCTCATTCTATTAACTTTAGTAGAGAGGATGTCAGCTTCCCTGTTTGGGTCACACCCCAGTACATGCTGAGCTTAAGATCAACTCAGAATAGGCTGGGCAAGCTTCATCATCTTTGTATTAAGTTGGACAAATAAACAAAGTTCAGAGAGGTTAAATGAAAAAACACGGGTCAAAGCAATAGACAACACAGATCCGGGACAAAGCAAGACCTCTCCCGACTCTCAGTCTGCACTGCACTATCTCACCTCCAGATGAGAAGTGACTGGAGAGATTTTCTCTTTAGTTACTTTACTTCCCAGTTTGCTTAAGGGCACTCCAATAGCTCTTTATGAGCTTTCAATTCATATCTTCTAAGCGCTGTTTTCTAGACAACTCAACTCCTACAACGTCACGCGTGCGCACACACACACACTCTTTCTCTTTCACCATTTTACCAAGAATGGACCATGAGTGGGGATATGGAAACTTACTGTGTCTCAAATCTTTTTCCTTCTCATCTTCCTTACTGCTACTGCCCGACTTCTCATTCTTATATCACCTGGATAACTAAAGAGCCTCTTTACTGGTCTCCCTAACCTGTTTTTCCCCATCCTCACTCAGTGGTCCTATCCTGGTATCTACTGACATGCTGTAATTAGACTGAATATTCCAAAACACAAAGCTTATCATGTCTTTCTGCTTAAATGTCTCTTCACTGACTCCTTTTTATTTTATTTTTATTTTTTGAGATGGAGTTTCTTTCTTGTTGCCCAGGCTGGAATGCAGTGGCATGATCTCAGCTCACTGCAACCTCCACCTCCCGGGTTCAAGCGATTCTCCTGCCTCAGCCTCCCAAGTAGCTGGGATTACAGGTGCCCTCCACTACGCCTGGCTAATTTTTTGATTTTTAATAGACAGGGTTTCGCCATGTTGGGCAGGCTGGTCTCAAACTCCTGACCTCGGGTGATCTGCCCACCTTGGCCTCCCAAAGTGCTGGGATTACAGGTGTGAGCCACTGAGGCCAGGCCCATTGACCCTTTTTAAAAATATAATAATTAAAATAAATTTTTATGTATTTACTCTTTTAGAGACAGGTTCTCACTCTGTTACCCAGGCTGGAGTACAGCAGTGAAATCACAGCTCACTACAGCCTCAACCTCCCTGGGTCAAGTGATCCTCCCACCTCAGCCTCCTGAGTTGCTGAGACTACTGGTGTGTGACACCACGTTCAACTAATTTTTTTGTTTTCTAGAGATAGGGTCTTGCTATGTTGCCCAAGGCTGGTCTCAAACTCTTGGACTCAAGCAATCCTCCTGCCTTGGTCTCCCGAAATACTGGGATTATAGGCATGAGCCACCATATCAAGCCTTATCTCAGCTTTAAAACCACTTCCTCCAGGAAGCCTTCCCTAATCTCTGGGTTAGGTGCCCCTGTTGGTATTTCTATCACACCAGTTCTTTTCATATGGGAACACTGATTTTTCTTTAGATGCTTGTGAACTCTTATTTCAGCTGCAGCTGTACTAGACGGTTCTGGGCAAGTGCAGGTTCATTGACTGTTGACAACACCACCAAAAGCACATGCCTGAAGGCTTTCCATTTCTGGCTGCAGGATCTCCTCTGAGCCTGCCTGCATGCCACAAGTACTGCCTGGACAGGTGGTGGAGCTCAAGCCATTGGGGCTAGCCAGAAGGAACACAAAAGCTGGTGGTTAAATGGCCAGCCTCCTACCCCTCACAAGGTAGTTGTAGGAGGTGCCCTGAATGCTTCTCAGAAATTCTCGTGCCATCAAGTCCTTGTGGCCTTGGAATTGTACTCTTATATTAACTTTTCCTTCTTCCTTATCTCATTCTTTCCACCACTCACACCTGCTGCCTGGGATCATTTCCCAAATAAACTCTCTGCACTTAAAATCCTTGTCTTACGTTCTGCTTTGAGGGGAATCTAACTAAGGCTGTTAGGAGAAAAATTATTTTCCTCGTGTAGTCTTTATCTTTCTGTGGCTATTTAAGTTCCTGGGTCTCCAAACCTCTCTAACCATTGACAGAGTTCTGTGAACAATGAGCACTCAATAAAGTCAACCATGTCACCTGGATTACAGAACCAATTCATGGAAGAGAATCAGATCTTTGTAGAACAAAATGTTTTTTAGAGCACTTCTACACTGAAGATTTTACAGGGAGAAATTCACTTTTATTCTTCCATCAGCTCTCAACAGCCCAGAGTTTGCCATTTAATTTGGGCAGCACCACAGGCTATGTATGCCACCTCTCCCATTCAGCCTACAGCTCCAGTGGTATTCCTGGGTTAGGCCATCTTTTTGACGAATTACTTTGAGAAATCTATGAGAAACTTGATTTTTTGATGCACAGCAGTGAGAAGGTTTCCAGAAAGGAAAAAAACCATAATACCCCTTTGGCTTGCTCACCATAAAACATCAGTAAAATGTCAACTGTGCTATTATGCTTTTGGGGAAGGCTTCCAGCTCTCCTTTCACTGGGTCATCAACATGGTGTAAGATGTCCTAATGTGCTAGTCTCTAAAGCAAAATGATATGTCTTTTATTTGAGGCTAACTCAAAATGAATGACACACTGATAGCAGCAGCCAGGACACACAGGGGGGCTCATCATAACCAGGAGACCAGCAGCTTCTTCCTAGAACCTGGTGTGTGGGCTCCCTCAAGGTTCTGAGCCCTCCCACTCACCCTCCCACCCTGACAGGGGTTTCAGTGTCCTAATCCTGGCGTCATTTCAGCACAGCTTTCAGAAAGGCAGATTTACTATGACCTTGCCCCTTTCTCTGCCACAAAGGTACATCAACCAGGCTTTCAGGAAGCCAAGGCAGGAGAGAATCAGTCTCTGGGCAGAGGCCGCTGACCTTACTCTGAGAAAGAACACAGGAAAACCTACTTCAGCCACGTACTTAACCTCTGGGAACTGTGGCTAGCAGGGGACAAACCAGCACTGGCTCTCCAGGCATCTGGCAGCTGTGTATATTGGAATGGGGAAGTCAGAATTCCCTTGTAGATTTGTTTTCATCAAGAACCAATCCAGTTCCAGACCAACAGAACCACTGGTTTCTTTGTTCTGGATCCTAAGCCGTAGGGCAAAGTACTGCCAGAAAGTACTTTAACAGACCACCCTTCAGACGACGGTACTTCATTGAGTCAAGAGACTCCTCACCCACCTGTTGCAAGTCAAAGTTCAAAGAAATGCACCATGCACTTGCTCACCCAGATTACATCCCGAATGTTATGCTGAGGGACTCTGGAATGTTATTACCAAGATGTTTCCAATGTCACAATGACATTGCAACCACCTCCTCCTGAACATAACGAGACTTTGTTGACCTTACTACCATAAATTTGATGTAAAGACTAATCCTGTTCAAGGAATGTGGCCTTTGCTTTCACCAGCCAGCTTCCATGCCGTAAGAGAGCGTGGCTGAGTGCAGCTCATACTGGTGAAAGAGACACTTATTTTCCAAGCTTATCTTTCTTGCGTATTTTGTTCAGTTATCCATCAATCAGCAATTATCTTTAACTCCCTTCCCACCATGCCAGACCAAGACCTACCATAACACCAGACACCAACCAAGACCTTGATTAAGAAACTAAGAAAAGTAAAAGAGACACAGAATGTAAAATGACAAGTCATGTTTTTCCTTTCTAGGTTCAAAGTTTATAATGATAATTTTCTAGAACTTACTCTGCTTCTCTTTAGCAAAATAA